AGCCTTACGTACGGGCTTATATACGGCCTCGCGTATAGCCTCACGTAATGTATAGGTGAATGCCCGGAGCTCCGGCGCATTGCTCCGAGCTAATTAGAACGCGGTAAAGGGGTTGCAGGGGGGGGGTCGTACGAATAGCAAAAAGGCATCGTACAAATAGCAAAAAGAGGTCGTACACGTAGCACTGGCCATTACAATAGCAGACAGCCCTGCTAAAGCGCTATCTTAAGCGCCGTACGCATAGCCTACTAAGTCCTATAGAATAAGTGCTTAGCCAGCTTATTAAGGAGTGCGAAATAGCAATATTAAGCGCTATACTGCTTATAAGCGAAAATAAGAAGCTATAGATAGAAAACCAGCGCTAGAAAAGGAAAAGGGTATAGAAGCGCACCTATATAGCTAGGGGAGGGGTGCTATTAGGCGTAGAAGGGGCCTCTTGTGCATTTGCTGCCTAGGAAGGGGTAGTAGAGGGGGCAGCTGAGGGGCTAGCTAAGCGACGGTAGCGTGCACCACCTAAGTGTAGCTTGTGCGAATCACTAAAACACAACGCCCGTAAGTGCCCTAGACGGCAGGCAACTAGCCAGTAGATAGAAACACCAAAGATAATTATTTGTGGCTGTGTAATTCGTGTTTTGGTAGCCTTATAGTGGGGTGGGTGGCCAGCTTAGGGGTGGATTACGTTAAGAATGAGATACTGACTAATATCTGTCCCTATATCACGAGCCACCCCTCGTCGCGAGCCGAATTCAAGGTTTAGACATCTAAAGTCTCTCCCTCGCGAGTCTATAAAGATATGGTTGATGTTTCACTGTTCTACAGTCTTTTCTCCTCTAGAACACCAGTGCGCAACGAAAGTTACGGCGGGTTCGATCATATTATCGATTGGATTGTCAATGCCATCGATTGCCGCTTCAGTTGCTCCCCCCTGCTTAATCGCGACTGTGGAAGTCTTTCTTCAGTTCGGAGTGCTAGGAGAATAACCCTATCAAGAAAAAATATGGCTCCAAATTTTGAGGGCGCTCAACCTTACGATTGTGCATTCCGAGAGTTTCGCCGTGCGGAGGAGCAAAGGATGAAAACGTCGCGTCTTGGCTTAGAAGTTCGGACCACCTCAGGCACACTTGCCGAGCGCCACCACACCATCTTTAAAAATTCATAACTTCTTTCATACAACACCGAATTGCTTCAAAAATGGATAAAATGAAAGCTGCGCTCGCAGCGCTTCGATCGGACCCCGAATTGTCAATTACTGATGCCGCTAAGCACTACGGTTGTGGCCGGAGTGGTCTCTCAAAGCGCTTCAACGGAAAGACCTCTGCACGCGACGATGCACTCGAAAATCAACAATTCCTCGATAGAGCGCAATCTAATGCGCTTATCAAGCATATACACGAGCTTACAGAGCGCTCGCTGCCTCCTATAATCTCTATGCTTCGAAATATAGCCTTTAAAATTAAGGGCGAGAGGCCTGGCTATAATTGGCCTACTTAGTGGATTACTGCGCATAAAGAAGAGCTAGGAACGGGCTTCCTTTATACACTAGATGCAGAGAGGAAAAAGGCCAACTTAGAACAGTACTATTAAGAGTGCTTTACTTTTATAAAGGCTAAGATAGCTAAGTATAGTATTAAGAAAAAGAATAGCTATAATATAAATAAAAAAGGCTTTTTTATTAGATTTTAGGGAGGGCTAATCGTACACCCCCTAACGAATAATCGTACACCCCTTAACGACTAATCGTACACCCTCTACCCCCCTGTTACTTCACCGCCTTCTAATTAGCTTAGAGGCTTGCTCCGGAGCCTCCGATTAGCTTGCTTTACTTGTTTACTAATTCTAGATACACTCTCTAAATACAGCGGCGAATAGAAGCAATTAACGCATGCTTCTCTATCTATATAATACACTTACTATAGCCCTCCAGCCGCCACTGCTAGCGTATTACAACTCCTTAGAGGAAGCTAAAAAAGCGCTTACACGGTATATAAAAGAGCAAGGCTACAGGCTTATAAAATACCGTTCGAAAACGGATAAGATAATAGCAAAGGCTATAAGGAAGATATAGTTCCGATACTGCTTTAAAGGCAGCTTACTGCCTATAAACCGCGTGCGTAGCATATCTATAATTAAGAAGGAATATATAATATACGGTACGCTTACTCGGCAGCCTATAAATATAGCAGGTAAATATCTATAGCTATAGAAGACGACAGAGGCAGCTTATTTAGGTTATACCAGCACTTTTAAAGCTACAGCAGTACTATATAATAGAAAGCGCATAGTATTAGTAAATAAGATAATTCGAGATAATCTTTCTAGTAGAATAAGGCCTATAGAAACCTATATAAAGCTACTAAAAAAGGGGGTAACTATTACTATTATAGATATTAAAAATAAGTAATAGATATACCGGAATAAGCTTTTTAATAGCCGTGCGCCTATATAGGCCCTTCTCTATATACTAGAAACCTCTGTATTTTCTATAAATAGTAGCTATAGAAAAAAGTATATATATAACTATATAACCGACTAAAAAAGCTATATAGATTACCTTTTCTTTATATATCTAGATTCTATTAAAATTCTATAGTCTAACTATAATATTATACTAATAAACTGTATATATAAAACTAATAAGTTTAGTATACCCTTTTTATATATAACCGGCGTTATATATACAGGTAATAACTTTAAGATTATATATTATTTTATTCTAAAAAAAAAAAAGATAAACTATAACTAGGCAGTATAGCAACTTTATAAGCTCTTTTAATACTATTCTATCCGCCTATATATTTTCCTAATAGATAAGGAATAAGCTTTAAAAAACGCGCTATATTAATAATAGCCTAATATTATATGCCTTTTATACGTAACGTATTCCACTACTAAGCCGGCCAAACCACCGAGCCGGCTACTTTTCCTTAGCACAACCAACACTATATTTACACAGCAATACATTAACAACGCAGCGATTATCTATCTTAGTAAGAAGGCAGTATTAATCTCGCGCTTTAAGCTTTTACCTCTAGTTAATTTAGGACTATATAACGCGCTGCAGCAGCTTTTAACGTACGATATTAGCGGCTCTCTAATCGGCTCCACGGAATTATATTTCAACCTTAATCACGACTAAACTGCCTAAAGCTTACTGCGACCGAAGAGCACACGATTATACAATATATCCTTAACCTAGACTCGCGAGGATTTGCGCCCCGGTTGTGTAAGGTGGCAGATATAGCAGATAAAGTACTGGCTGCGCGTGGTGGGATACTAGTAGGCAAGAACTGGACTTAACAGTTTATATCTTATATAAAGGAGCTTAAAATAGCTTTTAATTAGGCAAAGAACCGCTAGAGAATACTCTAGGAAGACCCAGAGGTTATTAATATATAGTTTACTCTTGTATAAAAGACTATAGCTAAGTATAGTGTTTATCTAGATAATATCTATAACTTTAATAAAACTGGCTTTTAAATAGATATAATTAGTATAATAAAGGTTATTACAGGTTTAGAGAAATATATAAGGCCTAATCTTATTTAACTAGGCAACCGAGAGTAGGTTACAGTTATCTAGAGCATCTGCGCTGCCGGATATATAACCCTACTATTTATTATCTATAAAAAACGCGTTTATATCTCTATATAGTATAAGAAAGCAGAGATACTATATAATTAAAAGCTCTCTATCTCTAAGAATAGCTAGACTAATAATAAGCTTAGTTTTAAGTAGTTAAAGCACTTTAATATATATATAAAGGCGCGTTAGGTGGGGTTATATAGGTTGCTAATTTTAGACGGCTATAAAAGCTACCTTAACTAAGATTTTAAGGATTATTATATTAAATAATAAATCCTTACCCTCTATATACCTGCGTATTTATTGCATATACTTTAGCTACTTAATATAGTGTGCTTCTCGCTATTAAAGCTAAAGTACTCTTAATATATATAAGACTTAGCACGCTAACACGTCTACTATATTAATAAAGAAGGCTTTCTACTAGCCTTTAAAAACGCGTTTTTTAACGTGTTTATATATAAGAACTATAAAAAGGCCTTTAAGGCCTCTAGATTAGTTCCTATTAACGCGTAGGTAGTTTTTAATCGCCTTAATATACGGTTATAGACTCTACTACTAGCACCTCTACTAGAAACACTATAGTAATTAAAGACCCTAAGTAATATATATAAATTTAGATTATAGTTAAGGCTAGTAAGCAATTCCTTTATATAGTTACTAATAACCGCCTAAAAAGGCTTTTTAAAGCTTATTAAAGGAGCTAAAAAGATGCTATATAAAAATATACTTATTAAAGCCCGGGTTAAAGAGCTTAAAAAATAACTAGCAGAGATAACTAAGCGTAAAGGTTGTAAAAGAAAGCAAATCCAGACTAGCGGTATAATAGAGTATAGTACAGCAGCGTTGTATATAGCTGCTAAAGTGTCTGGAGCATCTAATCCACGGAAAAAGGTGGGTAGTAGAGATGGTGCAAATAGGGCTCTACCAGCTCAACGGCGCTGTGGAAACTGTGGAAAGGCTGGGCACAATACGCGTACGTGCAAAAAGGATTAAGAAGCTTCTTCTAAATCTAATCTAAGTGTGTCGTATACAAGTTCTATAGCTGGTTGCGAATAAATTGACTGCGCGCATATGGTGTTGGTTGTGCCAAGGAAAAGTGGCCGGCTCGGTGGTTTAGCCGGCTTAGTAGTGGAATACGTTATAGTATATTAAGAAGAATATTAATACTAAGCTAGCTAAGGTATATAAGAATAAACCGATATTCCCTATAAGCTATACTAATACGCCGATAGAGAATAATATAGAAGAATAGAAGGCAGCTAAGGAAAAAAAGCAGTAAAAGAAAAAAAGTAAATTTATTATCCGTTAGAGCGCTATATAAAAGCTAAAGAACCCTATTTAATTTAATAAGGCCTGGAATAAGCTAATAAATAATTATAAGGAGAGGCCTAGCCTTATAGATTATATAGAAGAGGAGTAGAAGTTATATAAATAGGCCTAGGCTACTTACTATACTTAATAAGCTTAGTATTTTAGAATAATATAAGTGTCTGCTTATATCCTATTTCTTAATCAATTTTTAAGCTATTTTCTTATCCTTTTTAGCGCTAGTTATTCTATATACTAGTAAACCCCTTATAAAGTTTAGGCTTTAAATTTACGCACTTTAGTATTAAAATTTAGGTCTAGCAGATGCAAATTTAGGTGTATAATACTAACCGAGTTTTTTATAGTATTATATTACGGAATAAGGGCGTATACGGCTAGCTTAAAGGCTTCCTCTAGGTGTTAAATAGCTATCTATTTAACGTGCTACTTAATATCTAGAACCTTATTTTTAGTAGTAAGGCTAAATTTAAGAACTATAAGGTAAAGTAGTATATAAGAACTCTGTATAATATTAAAGAGATTAAATTCCTTAATCTATTCCAGAAGATTATACCGCAGGCTCTTGCCATCCTTAAAAAGCAACTTAAGAAGGCTAAGTTATCTAAATACAATTTTTTTAACTGTACTTATACGTTTATAAATATATACAGCATGCTATGCGCTTATAAGCTATATAATTATCTATATTAGGCGCTTATAAACTATCTAGATCCCGTGCTCTATATATAACCGGAAGAGATAGACCACTATTAGTGGTTTACTTAGCCAGGTATACAACAACTAATTATTCTGTTTGGTCCATTTGAAGAAGTACAAGATCCTGCTATTGTTGAGCGTCGACGGGGCCGCCCTGCTGTTGAGAGGAGAGGCCACTATACGTATAATAGTACACAGAGAGAGCTATCAAGGTTTGAGATTGCTTTGGGTACAGGTTTAGCAGCTCGACGTGGAGGTGAACAGGACGGACAACAAGGCACAGCTCTACGACACTTGCCAGCGTCTTTACAGCAAATTCCGGCCATCCCTGTCCGTCAGAATGCCCCTCAGTCGACGGCTACACCTGCTAGGACTGGTATTGATATTTCTCAAATTGATCCGGCCCTTCTTGAGCCTACGGCAGCACCTACGGCAGCACCTACGGCAGCATCTACAGCAGCGTATACAGCAGCGCATACAGCAGCGCATACAGCAGCGCATACAGCAGCGCATACAGCAGCGCATACAGCAGCGCATACAGCAGCGCCTACAGCAGCGCCTACAGCAGCGCCTACAGCAACACCTACGGCTGCACCTGCAGCTAAGAAGCGCGGCCGGCCGCCTGGTGCAAAGGATAAGGTACCACGGAAAAAGGCACGAGCTCAGAGGCAAGATAGTGCTCAGTCTCAACCTCAGGTGGAACAAGAGGATGACCGTGCGGACATTCTACGACAGATTTCAGCTCTACAGGCACGTATAGGAGGGTCTCAGCGTCCACCCGGTGTCGCTGTAGGCACTGCTGAATTATCAAGCCGGCCGAAGAGCCGTAGGAATGTTCTAGGGCCTGCAGAGTATCAATTTGAGAGGGAGGCTGAGGCGTATGTGGATCAGTATGAGGAGTAGGTGCAGGCGGCGATGCTAAGGGGCCAGGCTTGATGCAAAGGAGCCGTAATAAGGTGAGGTTTTGACAGGTTTGGCATGCTTGTAGGCACGTAGGCACTTCTAGACCTAGACTTAGACTAGGTGGTGATATATAAGCTCGTACGCGAGCCCGTACGGAGGCTATACGAATTGGAAAGGCTATATAGCCGTACGTGAGGCTATACGTAAGGCTATATATACAGCTGCATAAACTGGAAAGAATGCGCCGCAAAATGGAAAGGCTATATAGCCATGCTGATTTGTATAGCCTTACGTATAGCCTTACGTACGGCAGAAATGCACGTGCAGATAGACGTAAAGGTGAATGTTCGGAGGCCTCCTGCCGGACCTCCGAGCCAATTAGAAGGCGGTGAAGTAACAGGAGGGTAGAAGGTGTACGATTAGTCGTTAGAGGGTGTACGATTATTCGTTAGGAGGTGTACGATTAGCCCTCCCCGGAAACTAATAGAGAAAATTATATATAAATATAAGTATACTAAAAATAAGTTAGTATAACACGTACTATATAGGCTAATAAAAAGCCTTTTTATACTAGAAAAAGTATAGAAATCTATTATATAGAACTTTATAGTTAAGCTACTATAGTCTATTAAACCTATAATAGGTATAAAGTATAATATAATATTAGTAATTACGGACTAATTAACTAAATACGCCTACTTTATCCCTTACTAAAAAGTATTAATAGTAAAAGATCTAGCCTATATATTTTTAAAGTATATTATTAGTAACTATAGACTATTTTAGAAAATAATTTTAAACTAAAATAAGCTTTTTATATTAAAATTCTAGTAGACCCTTACTATATAACTAGGAATAAAGTATAAGCTTTCTATAGTATTTTACCCTTAAACGGACAGGTAAATAGAAAAGCTTAATTAGACTTTAGAATAGTACCTATAACGTATTCTATAAGCGAGCCGTCTACCTAAGCAAGCCGTCTACTTTATTATAAAAACCTACCTTAAATATTAATTGCTCTATAACGCTAATAAATATTAACTATATATAACTTATAGCCTAATCTATAGCAACCTCTGCATCGTTTTTATATATATAAATATTATGCCCTAACTCGCCGCAGCGCCTATAGCGCCGCACAATTCTATTAGAGCCTGCTCTATTTTACTGCTTTTTACTTTAAGCGTTCTTCTCGAGCCGTTAAGCAGCTATTTAAGAGCCTGCTTCTATTATTAAAGTTCCTTCCCTCTAAATACGCTTTTTTTTGCGCGCTTTGCGCTTTATAGCGGCTTTATTTACCTTTTAAAGGCTAGTAACAGTATCGCGCAGCAGCGCAGCTTAATATATTATGCTTTTAGCACCTTTAGAAAGGCTATTAAGCGAGTTAAGAATAGCTATAGGTAAGCTATTTTAATATATTTAAATGCGCTTATAAATTAAAGCTAATTAAGAGCTTAGCTTAAAAGTATTGCTTAGTGTTTTTAATTCCTATAGAGCCTCTATAGCGGCAGGCGGAGGCAACAGCGTATAGAGCCTAATATTAAGCTTTAATAGCACTGCTTCTAGATTAAGTAGTATAAGGCCTGCGCCTTAAAAGCCTGCGCAAATATTGCTTTTTATAATTAAGCTATAGAAAGCTGCTTTAAATACTAGCAGGAACTTTAGCTTAGTAATATAGTTAATATAGTAGCGCACTAAGTCCTTAATTTAGCGCCTATACGCCTTTTTTATTAGCGCAAAGCAGCTAATATTAAGCGGCTGTAGTAGGTGCGATAAATACGCTGGTATATAAAGAGTAATAATATTATTCTCTTTATAAATCTGTTGGAATTCGAGCGAGATATAGCTCTTATAGCTATTAATAATTAGCAGCCGGTGCGTGCCTATTATACGATCTTTTGTATACGCATTAAAATAGTATAGCCAGGTAATACTAAGCTTATTTATTGTCCAGCTATTATTACTTACTGCTATAACCTAATCTAGTAGTATATTATTGCCCTTATACTATATAAAAAGGTAGTATATACCTGTAAAGATAATAAATAGTAGAATAGCCTATTTATAGGTATTAATACCTTAGATTATTATTATCTATTCGCGATTGCCTAGTTGTATAGATTTTGGACAATTACAGCGCTTAGAGCCTGTTATAACTACACCCGTTAAAATAACACCTATTTAGAAGCCGGCTTTATTAAAGTTATATATATCTTTATCTAAAATACTATACTTTACTTTTATATTACGTATAAGCTTAAACTAATTACTAATAGCTTTTAGATCCTTATATAGAGCTTTTTAATAGTTGTACTTTCGATTAAATTATATTTTAAGCTTAGGTGTTCGCTTAATAAAGTTCTCTAGCTAGTTCTTACCAACTTAGCCGGCGGCGCGCTTAGTAAGCAATTTGTTGGCTATTTCTCGTATAGTATATAAGCTAGGCGGAAATCCTCGCAAATCTAGGTTAAGTATATATTAAGTAATAACTAATTCCTCTAGCTTTAAAAGCTTCTTCGAATTAGGCTTAGAATTGCGTCGTGGGGTTATTCCAGCGCGTCGATCTCGAAGTATGCTTCTAGGGACGTTATATATTATAATAGCGCGCCGTTCGCTTGTAAATTGCTGCCGATTAATTGCTGCGATAGCTATGTATATTCGACCTTTATTTTGTATTAATTGCACGTTATATTGTCGACGCATAGTGGTTAGAAGTTAACGCGTCGCGTTTTCGTAATAAAGTAGACGGCTTGCTTAGGTGGACGGCTCGCTTATAGAATACGTTAATACTATATTAATTACAGGTAGAATAACTAGGTATTATTACTACTAATAGCCTAATTCGCCTATAATAGCGCATTTATAGAAATAATAAAGGTATTACCCTTTTTTATAAACTATAGTTTTAATCTAAAGGCGTATTAAAAACCCTAACTTAATAGTATAAAAGCCTAGAAGGCACTGCTATTAGTTAAAAATATTAAAAAGCTATAAAGGCAGCTTTTAATAGATATCTAATTCCTAATACTAAGGTTAGCGAGATATTATAGCTAATACTAAAGTAT